GGTTAAAGAAGTCATCTACAATGTTTTTAAAATGAAAATAATATGTATTTATGGAGAAGAACACCTAGCTAATCACAAGCAATTATCACTTGAAATATATGAAGCTCATTTCCAGCACTTGTGTGTTAAAAGACATTATTTCCAACGTATGTCCTTAGTTAAATTCTAATAGTTACACATATTTGAATATTCCTAGCATGTTCCAGTAAGAGTCAATATACTTTTCAGTTACAACCTGCACACTAGGATATATTCTACTGGTAAATATGAAACATATATGCAATACAGCCAATAACTAGTGTCCAAAAATAAGAAATCATGTGTATTTTAAATTTTAATTTCTGATCTCTAAAGTAAGCAATTCCACTTTTACACCATCTTTTTTGTTCATTAAGTAATATTTTCTAGTATATGTAATAAAATGTAGATACTAAGACCTGAAGAATGCATTTTTAATCTACTGTCACTAATTCTGAACACCAAAATCCTCAAATTTCAGAGGTATTCAAAACAAATAAAAATATAGTTTCAGTCAAAGGAATGTTAAGAATGATCAAATTAAAATAATACATTTCTATAAAGCAAAAATTATAAACAAAGTCAAAAGGCAAACAGCAACTGTGAAAAAATTATTGGTAATATCACTGGCAAAGGATTATTTCATCTATTATGTAAATATCAACAAGTATAAGTTAAAAAGACTAACAAAAGGGCCTGAAGCATCAGTTAGTAAAAAAGGAATATTCATATCCCTTCAACTATGAAAAGGTGATCAATTTTACTCATAATAAGAGAAATGTAAATTGAAAGTACACAGAGATGCAATTTTTCACCTATAATATTTGTAAAATTCCAAGTTTTACAATCCCATCTGTTGGCACTGCTGTAGAGGAATATTTATTCTCATAAATCAAAGAGGTGCAAAATACACCACCACCTATGGAGGAGGATCTGGTAACATCTACCAGAATTAAAGATTTATTTATTTTTAAATGAGAATCCCACTCTGGAAATCTCTCCCACAGATACACTTATATGTACGCTAAATGATGTGTGTAAAAGGACATTCATTACACTACTGCATGTAATGCGACAAAACAACAATAAAAACAAAAACACCAAGTTAATAAACAGAGATTAACAACAGAGAGTTTATAAACAGAGATTTTTGTCTCAATAATTTCATATAATTATCACAACCATTAACATAACTACAAAAGGCTATAGTTTATGGAGCCCTTTCCAGTGAATTACCACATTTGATCATTACAATAGGCACTGAGGTAGATTCTGTGCAAATGAAGATGAAGTAGTCCCAGAACCTGCTTTCAAAGCATTCATAGTCTACTAGGTGAGGTAGATATCTTAAAGAGGGGTTCCAAATATTTTCTGTAAATGTTCATTAGTAAATATTTTAGACTTTGTGGACCTTAATTTCTCTTGCCACTACCTAATTCTACCATTGTAGATTGAAAACAGCCATATACAATACGTAAATGTAAGTCTGGCTGTATTCCAACAAAACATTATTTACAGAAACTGAATTTGGATTTCATTTCATTTCCATGTATCACAAAATATTATTGCTTAAATTTTTTCAATAGTTAATTTTTTTTAGTATGCAAGCAATACCAGCACATGCAACTAGATGAATTTGCACACAGGCTGTGGTTTAACTAACCCATAATCTAAACTATAAACCAAACTTTATAACACACTTGAATTAGTAACAGAAGTGTCAAACAGTATTTCTCAGCATTACATGTAAGGAAACTCAGGGAATTAAGACTTGCTAGTTGTAATACAGATGATGAGCAGAGAAGCCTTAATTCAAACTCAGCTCTTTACTCACTAATCATTACTATCTCATGAAGGCAATGAGTCTACTCTAATGCTAGGTGTGATACATGGCCTGCACTTTAGGATGTGTGTGATATTTTATACAAAATTATGTTCTTATAATGGAATTCATTCAGCTCTGTTCAATTTTGAAAATAAAAACAGATTAAATGGTCTATATTAGTTTTTACATAATTTTTGGAAAAGAGAGAACATTTTTGTTGTAAAGCTATAATGACATTACCATAATTTTTTCCAAGAAGAAAGGACTTACTTGCAAACAAAAGTCCTTTCTTTCCCAAAAGAAAGGACTTACTTACTACTTATAGCTTCCTTACTCTAATCTTTCAAGTATTTAAAAAGATTTTTAATAAGTCCATGAGGTTAAATCCGTGAGATACATTCATACACTAGTTTTGGTATTTGATTTCTCATGACCTTTACAGTCTGAAAAAAAATTATGGATTGTCAATTATATTTATCTGTATATATGTATAATTATATATATACTTTAATGGTGAGATGGTGTATGTATTATATATGTATATATAGTTATACTATGTACCATTAAAATTACCATATGTTCATGGCCTTAGCCTCATGAAAAAAAAAAAAATCTCTTAGCAGTGAATAATGCATATTGACCAATGTCAACAAAATAAATTTCCTCATAATAAACCCAATCACTAAGAAAATTCAAAGAAAATTATTATAAACACCATAAAAGAAATTGGTAAGTATCAAAACAGTTTGGCTTGAGCTCTTATCAAAAGTTTCAGATGTTGTTTTATAATGTGAAATATAACTATAGATACACAAAATTACTATCCAGAGCTCAAGGATGACTGGAAACAAACTTATATAATGCATGTAGAAAGTATATTATTTTAATAACAAATATTGCATTTGATTATTGTATGATTATTTTGTATTGTATGATTATTATTTTGTATTATATGATTATTATTTTGTTTCTGTTGACAAAATTCCTGCTGGAATTTCAGTGACAGAAGGGAGCAAAGGAGATACTTTTCAGCTCTTTGGAGGTAGTCCCCTCTCATGCTTATAGTAACTGTAATGATTCTATCTTCTATTCACGAACACTTTGAAAATATATGGCACTCGTTCATTATGAATGTATTTATAAGTGTGAAATATAAATTCTCTTCTCTAAAAAAAATAATGGAACAGGAGGTTATTATAAGTACATATGGATTGTTGAACTTTGCAGGGTTTTTTGAACTGTCACAGTTGTGTATGTACATATATATGTATGGATGTGTATATGTATGTACATGTGTTTGTACGTATGTAGGTGGTTATGGAGAGGGCAATGAATCCACACAATCAAGTTAGAATTGCTCATAAAGGCAGATGAATATTGAGTAGAAAGATTATGAATGAGTGAGGGGCCCCAGGTCAGATAGGGAATAGGAGAGCCACACCTTTGGGTGTGAGCCTTTAAATTTGTCTGTTAATACTACAACAGAATGGATACCGATTTCCGCAGAACCTCCACAAAGGAACAGATTCACAGCCCTCACCACCTCCTGATGGCTAACAAGCTCTCAACCATATGCTCATTGGCACCCAAGCCCAGAAAGACTGTTTGCAACTAATCTACTGATTGAGGTTTCATTTTTCACTCAAACTAGGTGACCCACCAAAAAATGAGAAGCTATCTGATCTTTCCCTAACATTTTCTAGCAAATTTGTTTCCATTTTTTAGTTAAAGTGACAATAAATATGCATAAAATTTTTTTAATAATATATATTTTTTCCTTTTGGTACTCTACAAAGGAAACATTTTTCTGTTCCTTTTTTTCTCCCTCCTTCTCAAGGATTGAGAGGATTATAGAAAAAGGATTTTGAAGTTCATAACAAAAATAACTTTATAGTAATTCAATATATTATGTTTTTACTTTAGTACATTTGTCTACATTTACTTCATGGGACAGTCTGTAGGAAAAAAGCACAGGATGAATATGAGGGGTTTTCCTTCTTGTTTTAATATGCACATAAGAAAATGATAGAATTGTTCCAGATCTTTTTTGTGTTTCACATTCTGACTCCATAGCTCCTGCCTTGTATGGAAGATATAGCTTCAACCCAGTCCCTGTTGGAAGAGGGGCAGAACAGATGGCTTGTGCTCCTGTACTGCCTACACATTAGGGAAGTGCTGTGGCTTGGATGGAGTACTTTTTTTTTTTTTTTTTTTTTTTTTAGTACTAACAGTGCTAAAGTGAAAATAAATAGTCAAGCAGGGAGGCAGAAGTCACTGAGCCTGCAGTCATAAAGATTCTACTGCTGTGACTTCTGCTTCTCCCATAGGTACTGAATAAACCTAAGTGTGGCTGCTTCCAACAGTCAGTAATCTATCAGAAGGTCTCTCTACTTCCACTCTATTCTTTACCCTGGAGCCTTGACACGTGTTTAAACTGTCCCTTATTACTGAGCGTACAATTTCCTAAAGGGTTTGACAAGCCATTAAATTATCTTGTCTGCATTTCTGAAAGAAAGGGAAGTTGGTCTGAAGTTACTGATCATTTTGTCAACTTCATTCTTTTGGAATTTTAACAAAACCTGTACACCCAGTTTATATTTAATCTATATTGAAATATATCGATATTTGTATGGAAATTAATTTGGGGGATTGGAAAAATATCCATGTGTTTTTAAAGGCTGACTTAAATTCAAATACCGTCTCTGTAACAATTAGCAGAAATATATTAGATGTCGTGTATAGTGTCTTCTTTTTAGCCTCGTGTGCAATAGCAATAGATTTAAAAAATTGTAAGTATCAACATACCAATAAATGACACGGTGAATTCTAATATATCTTCATGGTAATAAAGACAAAATTACTGAATTGTGTGTTTAATTAAGTGTCTCCATTTTACATGAGAGAACAGAAAGAGTAATATGCTGGTAAAGAACATTCAGTCTAGTGTGTATGGACCGATGTTTAGGGAGATGTGACATGATTGGTGAAGTTCATTTTTTATAATTATTATTTTAAAATGTTTAGAATAAGAAATAGCATTCTATAACATAATTCACTTAAAGTTCCATGTCTCTTCAAATCCAACTGCAACTCCACCCTCATCCCACTTCCCAATTTCCCAGGAGAGGATAAAACAAACCAATAAAGAAAAACTTACTTTTCCAACATACTGTGGATCTGGTCCCATATGTTCTTCTAAAACAAAGAACTGATTCCAAACCCATCCTCTTTTGGGACGGTGGTGGACTTCGGTTTCACCTTCGATGTGTTTGGTTTGGTTTCTGGTCCCCTTGATGGAGCTGTGTTGAGCAGTTCCATAACACCTCTGCACAAAACAGAGACACACGAGGACTGGACAGATGCAAGATGTGCTCGTAATTTTCATTGTAAGATAACTTTCCAGTTCACAGTTTTCTTCCTTTTCCTTGTCAGCTACAAATGCTTAGTGAGCATTCGAGAGAGAAGCCAAAGCATCTTTTGGAAGGACAGTCCAAATTAAATTGTTTAGTGTGTCCATGATTTAACTGTCCAGCAGGGAAAGGTCAGACTACATTTACATCCTGAAACACTTGGAGAATCAAAGCTGTAGTTGTGTGATCCTAAGTCTTCACAATTGGTGAACAGGGGCAACCATTTTCTACCTAATCAAAAGAGAGAAAAGTATATACATTACAAAACATGGCAGTTTTAAGTATTTGCTCTGAATGCAAATTATACTGTTTTGCGGAGTGATGATGATAGGAAAAGAACACATGCATGTTCTTTTGGAAATAAACACAAGCATACATACACATAGCCAGGCATAAGCCTGCACGCTGCATTTTTACAGGGACATACATATTTGTATTTTTAATTCTCAATTATATATGTATATATATAATTGAATATATATATATAAATATATATTATATATATATATATCATTTCAAAGAATATATCCATAGAAACAACAAAAATGAAGCCCTAGGGAGTGTTAAAATGCTCAAAAATTGACCATGAGTATGTGCCCAGACCTGAGTTAGTATGATCTCTTCACTACCTGATCTATTAGGGACTTCACTCTAAGTGCAAATTTTTTATTTGTTTTTGTGTTTATTTTGCTTTTGTTAGATGTGATACAACTTACTGCACATTCTGTACATCAATTTTCTACTACATATGACTCACACAATTTCAACAAAATACTCCCTAGGGTTGAAAAGTTTTCACAAACCATCACAGCAATGAAGTATGTACTGAAATTGTTTAGTAAGTAAAATAGAAGAAAGAAGATGCCTGAAAAACAGTACATCACTGAAAGTTACTCCACGCTTGGCGATAAGATTGGCACAATTGAACATGAGTAATATTAACAACTGAATCATAGGTTGCATGGGTTTTAGTAGGCCTGCAGATGATGCTCTAGGACGTGGTCTTTACCTCCAGGCAAGACAGTGATTCAAGCTTGGGAATGACACTACACAAAATTCTAGCAGCTATGCCAAGAGAGGTATAAGGAAGAAAAGGATGGTGGCAAAAAGAACAGAGGGGAAAATATTTTGATTTTCAAATAAGGAATGCTGAGAACTTGGACTTAGATTTTAGTACAACTGGACAATAAAGTAAAACTTGAGAAACATTTCTGGAAGACAAAAGACAGGGTTTGGGAGAGAAAAGCTTGACTAAGATTATTAGCTTATTGAAAACACATAAAACTGTGTATCATGTTTTGCTGTATTTTTATATATGCATGTTTCAACATGTGTTTATAAAAAAATATAATGACTCAAGATTATAGCTATCCCATCTAGTATAAAAACATTAGATGAATCACTTTCTCACTCCATAAAATTCACCCTTGCAAATCAGCACACATGGAAATGTAGATCTAAATGAACTGCAAGGTGGTTGACATGAAAATGTAAATGATTTTAAAAACTGAATATAATCAGTCATAGTATAATTCTTCTATTCAATTGAGAAAACTAAGTAGGGGATGAAAAAAAAAATATCACAAGACCCAGAGCAAGGTGGTTTTCTCTATCAGTATCTCTCCCCATAAATTAGGGTTAATAATAATACTTACCTTACCAATTGTGTAAGAATTATACTGGATTTGAACTGGGATTTTATTTTAGTCAGCTGGCAAATATAAATTAAAATGTATAATATTTTTTAAGGACAAAGATACATTTTTGATTGATTTAAATTAAAATGACTCAAAAACTTTTCTAACATATAAAAAAAGAGAAATACCATCTTAGTTCCAACATTGTAAGAGCAATGGAGAGAAAGTCAGAAAACAGAGGCTTTCTCTTTTTTTTGACAATTTATTTACAATATGCACTTATGTGAAACATCTAATTTTGAGTCTCAATTTTCTCATTTGTGATGAATAATTGATTTTAATATTTGTTCCAGTTCACCTAATAAACTATCTGGTTCTTTTTAAGGTTTTATTTTAAATTTATCAAAAGTTTCTTAATTTTCAAGTCACAGATCTCAAAAAAGAGACTTTAACTAGCCTTTCTTCCTAGAAATCAAGTTGATTAATATATAAAAGGTGTTGTTTTCTTAATACTTTCACACCATTTGGTGTGATTTTTAAATGAAATTAACATCTTTGCCCTTTATGCCAAGTTATTTAACAAAGCATAATTCATGAGTAGAAGGTAAAGAAAGTGGCTTTTGTAATGCATTACAGTTATGTAGAATGAGTGTTTTCTTTACAAAAATGATTTTGAATGGCATCCCCAAAATACATAAATGCATTTTAATCTACCTATGCATTATATGTTTATGAATCTCTATTATGACAATTATGAGAAGTGGTAAGGCTCTGTGGAACAAAAGAGCAAATGTAAACATCACTACTGTACTTTTGAAAGCAATTTGATATACTACATAATGAAAGGACAGAAATCCAAATGTGAAAATCGTCTGCTCTATTTCAAGAAATCCATCCCTGTGTAGGTTAGAATTAAAATGCAAATAATAATAAAATAAACCACTGGTTGAGAATAACATAATAAAAATATGATACAGCCATTTTCCTTTTTTTTTTAAACTAAGCAGCATGCAGTCTTCAAACATCCTTCCTGCTTTCCTGGAACACTCCAATATATGAACTCTGATAAACAGAGACATAAGCATAACACCTAGGGACCAGATACTTCCTTCTTCTAACCTTTTAGTTAGAACTTGCACCAATAATATATGCATATTAATTACAGGGTCCCATACCCTGGAGCAGATGATGGATGGATGTAGGCAAAGATGAGACATTTTTCACAGCAGCGGTAAAGGTCTTAAGACCCAGATGTAGCCCTGGTGAGCTCAGCAGCCACGATGGACAGAGTTCAGCGACACCTGCATGAATTAAGGGTCACTTTGGACTTGCAGTTTCAGTGGCGAGTACCTGACATTGTTTCTTACTGCCTAACTTCTGTTTGTTCCTACTTCTTGCCAAACCTGATTTTTAAGGCCTCTCACCAATTGTGACGGCTACATAATATTCTTCTAATAAATTGATTTGTTGCTTTCCTTGGCCAAAGTTGGCTTTTGCTGTTTGAAAATGAAAACTTTCTCTTATAAAAAGCATTACTCCCATAATACTCTAAACACAAAGTTCTTTCTGAATAATGCATTACCTGCACTAATGTGTAATGCAGACCTCTCTCCCCGTTGCAGTACCTAATTGTAGTGATTCAATGCTGCTTCCAGATACTAGTCCTATTGCTTTTGTAACTACTCCCTCTTCTGTAGTAGAATTAATGACACTGTACTGAGTTAAGGGACATGACCTCAAATGCTCATTCTGTAGAAAATATCAGTTTATGAGCATTTTATTCTCTGAGCTTCACATCTCTCATTTATGAATAAAAATTTTTATTGGATTATCTTTAAGCATGTTCAGTTAATTTGAATTTATGATTTAGAAACTGTGTATCACTTAAGACTTTTCTTATGCTGACTTATGTGAACATCACCCAAGATTCAATGATCAGCCATTTACAGCTTGTAAGTATAGTCATTCCTTCAAAGGGCTCTGAGTAAGCACCATTCTCAAAGAAAAATATTGTCGTATTCACTCCAATGTATTGCTTGTAACTTGGGCCTTTGACTGGATTTTCTTTCCAATTCATTCTTAATTTATAAAACTGGGAATCCAAAGAAGCCTAGAGAATGCCTTCTGTTTGCTTTTTTTAAAAAGATTTCTTTGCTCTTTTTCTTGTTTTGAAAATTTCTTTGTAAAAAATACTCTGTCAACTTCATCTTATGAATGTGTCTTTCCATTCTCCATATGTGTGGGGTTATGTAAGATACTATTTCACAAGTTCAAAAAGCCTAGGATTATAACTGCTACCGACTTCTAAACTTTAGCATTAAATATTACTGGTTGGAATTGACCTGACTTTGCATAGAGCAAGCTTAGCTAAAGTAGAAAATGTCAAAAGAAGATAAAGTATGATGGAAAGTTCATATTTTTGGAATGTTTTCATTGTAGATATATAAGGACATCTTGTGTGGAGAAATACGTGTTAATGGTAGTATGATGCCCAGTGCATAGAAGGGGGTCTTCCCAAATGTCAAACCTGTAAATCTACTGGATGAGAAGGCTGTTCTTCATGAGAGGGTGATACATCTTGAAAATGATGTAACTTAACTTTTCCATGGTAAATTATTAAAACCCATCATACTGCCAGGCAGATTTAAATATAAGAAAATTTATATTATATTTGAATTCTGGGGTACATATATAAAGAAAAAGTTACAAATACTGAACAAAAGCTTTTTTTCAGTTTAATAAAAGTAAATTTACTACTATCTATCTGTGTGTGTATGCATGTGTGTTTGTATGTATGTATGTGTGTATTTACTACCTACCTTCAGGATGTTGTGTTCTAAAACTTTAAGTTATCCTTTAGGTTGGTGTTTACAGGCATAATAGCTATTGCTGGCAAGATGCATTCTCAGGTATATATCTGACCCTGGAACTATGGTTTCCATCATTTTCAGATCCAATGATAAATAATATCAGTACCATTCTCTTGTTCTAAGTCTAGTTCTTATTCAATTTCCAATTATACTGGCTTCTAAATTTTGGTTTTACCTTCCTGTTCTCTATTCTCAATTTTACTATTTTTTCCATTAGTGTTTTATTCTTCCTTAATTGATATTTTATCTGATTAATAATTCATTTTACTCTTCTCCATAGGTGCCAACTGGATGAAACAGCTCTTGCTTACAGTCAAAATGCAAATACTCATAAATCACATGAAACTGCAGAGGGCTTCACCTAAATTTGTTGCAAGTTTTATTTCCAGGTTGGCTCTCAAATCAATATTTTTGATTTCAATCTGACCATTTTAGGATATTCTCATAGCCCCAAGATTTGCACATAATCAATTGCATTCACTTAAAACATATATATTTATTATATATTTAAAACATATGTATTTAAAGGTAAAATGCTTTATATTATTTGAAAATGTGGCTCTCTTTAAAATATAATGAAATATCTAAATAATAACATATATAAAACAAGAAGCAGTAACTTTTACATAATGTTTTTCTGTTGGAAATGTTAAGTTTCACAGAGATGGTGATAAAACCACTACATGTGCAATTATACTCCAATAAAGATGTTAAAACA